GCTGTAGTGCAGTGGCATGAACAAGGCTCGCTGCAGCTTTAAGCAATCCTCCTGCCTTAGCCTCCCAAGTAGCTGAGACCACAGACATGCACCACCATGCCTGGCTAATTTTTTATTTTGAGACAGGGTCAAACTCTGTTGCCCAGGCTAAAGTGCAGTGGCACAGTCTTGGCTCACAGCAACCTCAATTTCCTGGGCTCAGGGAATCCTCCTGCCCCTCAGCCCTCAAAGCAACTGGGTCTATAGGCATGTGCCACACGCCTGGCTAATTTTTGTATTTTTGTAGTGACAGGGTTTTGCCATGTTGCCCAGGCTAGTCTTGAACTCTTGGGCTCAAGCAATCCACCTGCCTCTGCCTCCCAGCGCTGGGATTGCAACCATGAGCCACTACACCAGCCTAATTTTAAAATTTTTTGTAGAGACAGTTTCCCTTTGTTACCCAGGCTGATCTCAAACTCCTAGGCTCAAGCAGTTCTCCAGACTTAGCCTCCCAGTCTTGCAGTTTTTCTTATCCTTGGTCTGCTTTTCACATTCCCTGGGTAATCTCCACTTATACTGCTACCACTTAGTTGCTAATAACTCTCAAAAATCTATCTCCAAGCCAGACTTTTAGACTCATACAGCCAACCTCCTATTGAATGTCACTACTTAATATACTATAGGCAGCTCATTTTCAATATAGCTAAGCTATTCATCTTTCCCTCTGAACTCCAGGTTCTACTGATTTTTATCCCTTAAGTGTTTCTGGCTCTATCCTTTCCTTCCCGTATGGTTTTTAAAACTTAATCTTAGCCAAAAGGCCAAGAAACAATTCCATCACTATCCTTTGAATCATATTGCTATAATTTAGGCCCTAATCATTGTGTTAGGATTCTTGGTTGCAAACAACAGGAATCATCCTTTGGCTAACTTAAGCAGAAAGAAAATTTATTGGAAGGAGATTGAATGGCTCAAAAAAGTATGGGAATGTTAGAGAAACTGGTGTAGAGAATGGTATGAAATCAAAAGGAGGCAAGACCAAAGAGAAAGTCAAGGTCACACCACTGATCAGTCTATAGAGGATGCTACAGTTGGACTCTAGTGTCTGCCATTGCTAGATATTGTCCAACTGTTCGGTCCTGGGTCTTTGCATTACCCCTGCAAAGTCAAGACTTACCCAGCAGGAGTATCCACTTAAACTAGCCTAGGTCATATGCATACTTCCTCTTTGCTAGGAAGGGAAGGAGGTGATTGAGTCCTAATCTCCCCAGGATCCATATGGGGAGATAAGATCTAGCTTTCCATGGAAAATATAGAAAGGGGCCTTTTGGTTGCTGAGCAGAAAAAAAAAATCAGCAAATACTCACTATACAACTATTTTCTGATCTCTCACAGCAGCCTCCTAACTGCTTCTGTGTCCTCTGTCCTCTTACGCTCTAAAGCCAGAGTTAGCTAACCAAAATATAATTCTGATTATGTTATTTCATGTTTCAGTGGCTCCTCATTCACCTGTAAGATAATGTCTTAATATGTTATTCAAGGCTCTCCCTGCTCTGGCCCTTACCTGTCCCTTCAGCTTCTTCCCCATCCAATTCCTTCTTTGCAATTTACACTTTAGCAAGGCTAAACTACAGAACTACTTAGAGTTTCCTCTACATGTTTCATGCTGTTTTTCATTGCTATGCTTTGTTTTGCCTTTCCTCTTACTGTCCCTGCTGCCTGAATATCAGTTTCTTACAGCCTTCCCATGTGGTTTCCTTCCCACCTGGTAACTCTTCCTCATTGTTTAAGAAATGACTTTTGGGTGGGCACAGTGGCTCATGCCTATAATCCCAGCACTTTGGGAGGCCGAGGCAGGCGGATCAGGAGGTCAGGAGTTTGAGACCAGCCTTGCCAACACAGTGAAATCCTGTCTGTACTAAAAACACAAAAATTTAGCCTGATATGTGGTCTGCATCTGTAATCCCAGCTACTCAGGAAGCTGAAGCAGGAGAATCTCTTGAACCTGGGAGGCAGAGGTTGCAGACCACACCATTGCATTCTAGCCTGGGTGACAAAGGGAGACTCCGTCTCAAAAAAGAAACTACTTTCTTGGATGGGCGTGATGGCTAACACCTGTAATCCCAGCACTTTGGGAGGCCAAGGCAGGCAGATCATTTGAGGTCAGGAGTTTGAGACCAGCCTGGCCAACACAGTGATAGCTCATTTCTACTAAAATTACAAAAATTAGCTGGCCGTGGTGGCTTGAACCTGGTAGGCGGAGGTTGTGGTGAGCTGAGATTGTGCCACTGCACTCCAGACTGGGCAACAGAGCAAGACTCCGTCTCAAAAAAAAAAAAAGGAAACTACTTTCTTGATGTTTTTTCCTCCTAAGCTCCCGCTGGTCTTACTGAATGTATCACCTTGTATTGTAATTGTTTACATTTGTCACTGTTGTCATACTGCCTACTCTTTACCCTCTTCCCACATGTATACACAAATGCACTCTTACTTTCTGTGAGTTGAGGGTAGGGATTATGTCTTACTTGTTTTGGGATCCCTAATACTAGCAAATTACTTGCTATATTATATACTCAATACATATTGAAGTAATAAATTAGGAGGCATTTGATGTTGATCTTAAAGGATAATAAGTAAGATTTGGTAATGCAAAGAAAGAAATTAAAGATGTGTATAATTTGAAGGCAGCAATATTAGGCTCAAATTAGAAAAAATATGACAATAGTCATATTTTTTGGCTAGCAAGTATATGTAGACAGATAGTGGAAAGTAAGACTAGAAAGATAGGATGCTGTCTTAAGATTTATGTCTTAAGTCATTGGGAGCCTTTGAAAGTTGTGAAGCACAAATCTGATTTGGCCATACTGTGTTTCAGAATATTAATCTGGTAGCAGAATGGATTAGTAGAGTGAGTAGAGAGATCATTTATGAGGCTTCTTTCTCTTACACAAGGAACTACATAAGTAAGGGAGATGGGAGCAGAAATAGGAGTCAGATATATGAATCCTAACATGCCACTTAGTTTCATAGTCAAACATTCAACTCTCTAAGCCTCAGTTTTCTCATTTGTACAATAAGAAGGTGGACAGAGTCTTTGGTAGCTCCCAAGTCTTTGTTATATATTGCAAGAGAATCAATGACACTTGGCAAATGATTGGATGATGGCTACAGGAGGATGCTTTAGAGACTATTGAGGTTTTGAGCCACAGTGAATGGGAAAACAGTATTGCTGTTTACAAGAGTAGTAATTAGGTGTTTTTAGCGGCAGTGGTAATGCTAAGATCTTTAAAAATAGGAGATCTAAAGCCAAGTTGATTTTCCTGATTCGTGTCCTCAGAGTATAAGAAAATAGAATTTCAATGTGAGGATACTTTCAGAGGAAACTAATGGTAAGGAGACAAGCTGCTTTTTTTTTTTTTTTTTTTTGTGACAGGGCCTCACTCTGTTGCCCAGGCTGGAGTTCAGTGGCATGATCTTGGCTCAGTGTAAGCTCCACCTGCAGAGTTCAAGTGATTCTCATTCCTCACCCTCCCCAATAGCTGGGACTACAGGCAGGTGCCACCACTCCTGGCTAGTTTTTGTATTTTTAGTAGAGACAGGATTTCACCATGTTGGCCAGGCTGGTCTCAAACTCCGGGCCTCAAGTGATCTGCCTGCCTTGGCCTCCCAAAATGCTGGGATTATAGAGGTGAGCCACTGTGCCTGGCCTTTTTCTTTTCTTTTTTTTCTTTTAAGAGACTAGGTACAAGTGAGCTGCCCACCTCAACCTCCCAAAGTGCTGGCATTGTAGGCATGAGCCACCACCACACCCAGCCTAAACTGCTGTTTTTAATAACAGTGGGCCAGGCGTTCATGCCTGCAATCCCAGCATTTTGGGAGGCCAAGGCAGGCAGATCACTTGAGGTCAGGAGTTTGAGACCAGCCTAACCAATATAGTGAAATCCCATCTCTACTAAAAATACAAAAATTAGCTGGGCGTGGTGGTGAATGCTTGTAATCCCACTACTCAGGAGGCTGAGGCAGGAGAATAGCTTGAACCTAGGAGGCAGATGTTGGAGTGAGCCAAGATCGCACCACTACACTCCATCCTGGGCGACAGAGCAAGACTCTGTCTCAAAAAAAAAAAAAAAAAAGGGAAAAAAAAATTTGGTTGATTTCAGCTTGCACACCATCATTCTGGAGTTGACTAGTCTCGCTGGGAATAAGTGTGATCTCAAGTGACATTGCAAAGTGGACAGTGATTAAAATGTCAGATGGGCTGAGTTTCAAGAGATGAGAGAACAGGAAACCGAGTTTAGAGGGTGAGGAGTGTTTGTTTTGGGCAGATTAAGGGTCGGGAATTGTTAGAGGGCCCCAGGAGTTAGTGTCTAAAAAGCCATATTCGTATCGAAGGGTCGAAGTGTCAAAAATGCACGGCAGTCTTATATGTTGTGGCAGAAACAGTGCTTTAAAAGGCCCCATATTCCAACTGGGCTGACTCCCACGATGGAGGGAAGATTTGGCCCCTTTTATTGGGTAGGGGGATATGTTGTAGTCACTAGAGGAGAGGGGTTGACAGGGCTGCTGGAAGGCCGGGGATCCAGAGGGAGGCGGAGCTGGCCTAGTGCGGAACCCTCCCTCCCAAGTTTATACTCTTTAGGGTGGAGAATACAGTGTAGACGGTAGGGAATTTAATCCCCAGTACTGGTTTCGCCCACTATGAGACTGTTCCTCTGGCCAGCCCTCTTTCTTCAAGCAAGCTGCAGGCTTCGCCTCGGCCCTAGAAACCGGATAGGCCTCTCCGTGCGCTCTCAACCTAACCTGCAGGGGAGGCGGAGGGGGGGAGGGAGGTCCTTCTAGTCCCACCCCTTACGCTGTTTTGCGTCTTTTCGCCTCTTGTGAGTGGCAGTGTGCTTTAGCCAGTGAGGTTGTGGGGCGGGCGGGAGCATCATGTTAGGTTGCGCAGGAGGAGGGGGAACTGGTGTTGGAGAGACAGGGAGAGGGGCGAACCGGCCCCCCCACAGCCGCTGCAGGTAAAGCCACCTCTCTCCTCCACTGGGGTGAGGTACAGCTCTTTTTCTCCTTCAGGGATCGTCGGGCCTCTCAGCCTGCAGCTTCCGCCCTAACATTGCTCCTACCCCGGGCATCCACACCCCCCCCCCCCCCCCACCTCCCCGCCTTGGCCATCCCCCCCCTGGAGGGCACCCCCGCTAGCTCCTTTCCTCAAGTGCATGTACCTCATTTCCATTTTGGGGTCTTCAGTTGCCAGAAATCTCCCGCCTCTGCTGTATGGACCTTACTGGCACCAACCCCGGCAGTATGAGCAGGTAATGTACCCGGGTCCCCCCCACCCCCACCCCCAGTCGCGTTTTCCTCTCCATCAACCCCTTACTTCCTCACCTCGCCCTTTCCCTTTTTTCATATGAGTACAGAATCTCTGTAGTTTCTTCTTTACCTTGTGAGAATATATATCTTTAGCTTTCGTAGTTGCCTATTTTGCTTTTCCAATTTATTCATAAGGTCTTACTTTACCAGCCTTATTTTCCCCCAAATGTCCATACCCTTGATTGAGGTGTGAGTGCTTTCTCTTTCAGTAATTGGAAAACAGAAACAGAGTAGCCACACATTTGGCAATGAGAATGGTGAAGATAAAGAAAATGGCCTAGGATCTTGATCTTCTTAGGAAATCTGAGTGGCTCCAATTTGATCCTATGTCGTTCCATCTTGATCCTTTGGTGACCCTAAATTGTGATTGCGTTCACTTTGGATGTTTATTTTTCATTTCTGTATAAGATTTGAGACTCTTTGTGTCTCACAAATGTCTCTATGATACGGTTTTAAAATAATTCCCTTGTAAAATTATGTTAGTGATTTTCATTTTAGCCCTTTGGATTATTTTATTTTCAAGAGATTTCTCATTTAAATTAAGCAGCTTCTACCCATCTTGTGTTTCAATAACGTGTTTATGTCTATCTGCAACTGATCTTCTTGAAAGGCTGCAGTTTCCAACAACAAGATTTATACTTTGAAGTAAATAAAATAGTTCTTTTCTTTTCTGAACCTCTGAGCAACTAGAGGTTAAGTGGTCATGAGTGGTACTTTCTAAAAGTACACATTACAGAAAGAGGTCAGCATTGCTCAACACAGCATTCGTTCATTGTCTTCTAAGAGGATGTCACTACAGAGAGATCTGTAAGTGGGCAATAGAAATCTGTAGCTCATTTTACATAATTTTCTCTGTTAGACAACTGAACTAATCTCTTGCAGTGTTTCTCATCCATCATAAACAGTAAATTATGATAAACTACTTTTGAAAGACTACAGGAAATCTTATCCCATCCGAAAGATATTAGTAACTCTGCCAAGCCAGGAATGTTTCTTTCTCTGCCCCGTATTCCTCACATGTGTCTTTTACGGATCTTCACTGGCCAAGAATGTTTTGTCCAGTGTTAATAAATACAAATAATCTAAACAATGAGATGTGGGTTTTTTTTTCACTTGATAAATATAAAATTATAATATTGAACGCACCTTTAAGAACTACACATTTATGTCCACCCTCAGTTCCCAGAAACCCTTCTTAAGGGCCGTAGTCTCCATACCCTGGTTGAGAATCATGGCTTTCTTGAAAGGTATGGAGAGATTGAGATGGAGAAATATAGGGTAGAATTAAAACAAAATTCTTTATCATAGGACAGGCAGTTTATTATAGAAATGGGCAAGGGTGAGGAATAAGGTAAAATAAGAACAAGAGAGTTGGGACTCTAGATTTCCAAAAAAATCAAGAACTATATTAAAGGTGGTAAAGCTGCAGAAGAACATCAGTTTGTACCTGCCTCAAGGGGAAGCAGTAGTTTCACCTTTAAGAAGTAGATGAAGTGAAGGGCTATACTGGCATTTATAATAAAGTATTTTTATACAGGTAACTGGATTGTTGTTTGGAGATTATAGATGGGTGGCCTTTGATTTTAACCTTAATTGACTAGTTTGTTACTTTTCCCTTCCACTGCCATCCCCCACCCCGCACATGCCCTCCAAGATTCTGTCATGATTCTGGTCATTAGTTTGTAATTATGGAAAGTGACTAAGTACAACCACTAAATTTTGTCTTTCCTTTTGAGCATATACATGTCTTTCTCTTTTGGGGAATGGTGGGCCAAGACTGGCTTTCCATTCTTACTATAATAAAAGTTGGTATGACTTCTTTGTCTAGGCAGTTGCTTTGCCTTAAAACCTACTTAACTTCTGTTTATTTTTGCTACTAGGGTTTGAATCAAGGAAAGAGAATTCATGAGATGGAGGAGAGGATTCATGAGATGGATGAGCTTGGTAGAATAAATAGGCCATATGTCGATATAGCCAGGGTGACCCACAAGTAGTAGTAGAAAGAGGTTTTAAAAAAAGTTAGACGTATGTTGGGAGAAGGTTTAATCTTGTAAGAATCAAGGACAGTTTAAAGATGGGAGCTAGAAAAGCAGTAGGAGACTAGGATAAAAATGTGAGATAAATTGGGTCATTATAGGTGCGATGATGGTACTGAGAAGTAATGATACTTGGTGGCAAGATTTTTGAATTATTAGGCATAGAGTGACCCAGGAGAAGCAGAAATTTGGTTCAAAATTTGGGAAGGGAGCAATAAATGATAATACACTGACCTTTAAAAGCTTATACTTAAGTTATATAAGGGTAAGGAGATTCATCAGAAACCATTAGCCTTGTTTCTTCTATTTAAAAAAAAAAACACAAAACTGTCCCTAAGATTGGATCATTATGGGGGGAAAGAAGAGCATTAGAATCAACAAATAGCAAGGAATCATGGAAGGGACAAAATACTCCATGGAAGAAGAGGCAGGCTATAAACTATTTGCAACATAACCTTCTATTTAGTAGAAACTTTCACTGTTGTTTATATATTACTCCTGGCTGTAGATACTTTAACTTCTGATGGTGAATAAAGGATGAAAGATAATTGGTGTCAAAGTAGGTATACTGGAAAAAAATTGATGACAATGGAGAAGGAAATTTATTAATATCAAGTTATTGAGTAGGCTTTCATTAAATCAGGAAACATAACTTTTCTGATTGCCATTTTGAGTAATTTGGAGGCAAATATTTAGATACAAGAGGCCGGAATGAGCTGGTGGAATAGGCTAGCCAGGAATGGGAAATAGTATGGATCCTAGGTTGAGATATGAAAAGTATACAGTTACTAAAACAAGGGAGATCTTGTTTAACATTGTTGGAGATACTTTGTATACTTTGTAGTTTTGACTCCGTGTTTGTTCTGTTTGTGTTGGAGTATCTGAGATATTTACCCATATTACATTGTTTTATAAGGATAAGAGTGAGATGGGTTGGGAAGGGAAAAAACATAGCATGGGGGTTATGTGGAAAAGTCTCCTTCAGTCAGCCTTTGCTGTGTCCCTGATGAATTTCTTATCTGAAATCTTCCAAAAGTTAGGAGACATGGTCTTACCAAGCAAGACTTTCCTCTATTGTCAAATATTGTCATCATATAAAAGAACATATATTTTTTTCATATATTTGGGTTATATGGTGATATAATTCCATCTTTGATAATTTTTCCTTTTTGCACTAGTTTCATGAACTTAAAACCCTAGGCATGTATTTTGTAAACCTACTTTCAGCCATTCATAAGACAGGTTTTCAAGATAGGAAGGTTTCTACTATCTCATGTTAGAATCAAAGAATGCCATCTAGTTTCTGTAAGGATCAAATGGTTTTGTCCAGAAAATGTAAGCAAGTATAATTCATTAACTGTTTTTGTTGTTGTTGTTTTGAGATGGGAGTCTTGCTCTGTCACTTAGGCTGGAGTGCATTGGCACAATTTTGGCTCATGGCAACCTCTACCTCCCAGGTTCAAGCCATTCTCCTGCCTCAGCCTCCCAAGTAGCTGGGATTACAGCCTCGCACCACCACGCTTGTCTGATTTTGGTATTTTTAGTAGAAACGGGGTTTCAGAATGTTGGTCAGGCTGGTCTTGAACTCCTAACCTCATGATCTGCCCGCCTCTCAGCTTCCCAAAGTGTTGGGATTATAGGCATGAGCTACTACACCCGGCCTCATTAACTGTTTTTTTAATTAGCTACTATGTGTGCTATGTCCTCCTGGTTCTTGAGGGATCCACAGACAAATAAGATATAGTCCCCACCATCCAAGAACTTTATCCAAAAAAAAGAGGAGCTGGGCCATAGAATAGAGTTGCCAAGGGTGTACATTGCATATATTCATAATCAATTTTATATGTTTAGTATGGCAGTTTTCCAGCAGATGACAGACAAGCATCTTGAGAAGTAGGCAACTTTTTACAGTTTGTACAAAGGAACTATTTGGGCCTTCAGAGGATATGGACAGACTTAGTTAACTATAATAAAATATTAAATATACGTGCTTTAAATCAGGTATAAACAATGGTGTGGGTCTTTAAAGGAAGTGGAGGGATCAAGCATCACAAGTTGCTCAGTTCTTAAAGGGTCAGAGGTTCAGGGCTCACTTAATGGAGCAGAAGACCTTTCAGGGTTGGTAGGATTTTAGCTGTGAGAGATTATTGTGATTGAGATGGAGAGGAGGTGTTCCAGGCAGAAAGTATAGCGTCATAAGCAAAGTCACACAGGTAGGAATCACATTAAGGGAACTGTGTAGTCTAGTTGGACTGGAATGTAACATACCTGTAAGAGATGGTAAGAGAGGAAGTTGGGAATATAAATTGGAAACAAAATGTTGAACCCCTTGCAAATGACATTTTTTATCTTAAATAAAAAGGTTTCTTGAGAGGGGACTTCAGAACAAAAATCCTATTATAGATTAATATGTTAACTAGAATAAAGTTTCCTAGGTAAAACTGTATGATCAGCTTGGTGAGATTGTACTATGAGCCTTGGTTAATGGTAGTTATTTTTGCTAATAGTAAAAATATATAAAATACAAGAAAAATTGGTAAAATAGAATGTATCCAGAAACATTTATCTGTAGACTCACTGGAATTCTTGTGGCATATTTTTGAGTTCTACTAACTTAAAAACTGAAAATAGAAGGCAAATGAATATTAAATTTTTGATCTTTACGAAGGAATAGTAGTTGTTAAAAGAAATGGACAGAGACAGCCAAATGCTCTTGACAGACAGAATCTTTAAAGTTTCTAGGTGTAAGAGCCCAAGAGGGGGTCATTGTTTTCTTTTCTCTTTTAGTTTTAGTTTTGAAGCAGAAATATGAGTTTTCTTTCTGCTGTATGTCTGTCCTCAGATTTCCTCACATTTCCTTATTCTCTTATATTCATGCTATTTGATATTAAGAGCAGTACCTAAGAAAGAAAAATTTTCTCTGAGATCACCAACTTTGCTTATTTTTCATTTATATTTGTATTCCTACAACAGGAGTTCCACCATCTTCCTCTGAAGACCTAGCCATCTTGCTCCATGAAGGTCAGGACAATCTGACATGCACTTGTTTCTTGCCTCTATACTTGAAGAGTAGTCCTCTTCCATTGTGTACATTTTTTTCATAATAGGGGAGGGGAGGGGAGAGCCAGTACCCCCCCTCCCCTTCCCTCCCTAGACCTTGGAGAAATACCCTCCATTACTTTCCCAAGATGGCAGACCCCATCATGGATCTGTTTGATGACCCAAATTTATTTGGCCTGGACTCTCTGACTGATGACAGCTTTAACCAGGTCACACAAGACCCCATTGAGGAAGCCCTTGGACTGCCAAGCTCTCTGGACTCCTTGGATCAGATGAACCAGGATGGCGGAGGTGGTGATGTGGGGAATTCATCAGCAAGTGACCTGGTGCCCCCGCCAGAGGAAACAGCTCCCACAGAACTTCCCAAAGAATCCACAACTCCAACTCCAGAATCCATAACCTTGCATGATTATACCACTCAGCCTGCCAGCCAGGAGCAGCCAGCCCAACCTGTCTTACAGACATCGACGCCAACATCAGGACTTTTGCAGGTCTCCAAGAACCAGGAGATCCTGAGCCAAGGGAATCCTTTCATGGGTGTCTCTGCCACAGCCGTCTCCTCTAGTAGTGCTGGAGGGCAGCCACCTCAATCAGCCCCTAAGATTGTTATCCTTAAGGCCCCACCAAGCTCCTCAGTCACTGGTGCCCATGTGGCACAAATTCAGGCCCAAGGTATCACCAGCACAGCTCAGCCCCTGGTGGCAGGCACAGCCAATGGTGGAAAAGTCACTTTTACCAAAGTGCTAACCGGCACGCCCCTTCGACCAGGTGTTTCCATTGTCTCTGGTAATACAGTGTTGGCCGCCAAGGTCCCTGGGAACCAGGCTGCTGTTCAGCGCATTGTCCAGCCCAACCGACCAGTAAAGCAGCTGGTCCTCCAGCCAGTTAAGGGTTCAGCTCCTGCTGGAAACCCTGGGGCCACAGGGCCCCCACTGAAGCCTGCAGTTACACTGACCTCTACACCTACCCAGGTGACTTGAGTGAAAGGGGGAGGTGAATTTTGGTTTCATAGAGGGCCCAGCAACTCTTTGAGAGAGAGCGAGCGCATGAGAGCTGTCTCTGGGAAAGCGTATTTAAATTCCATCTTTGCGTTTTATCAAGTTGGTGTGACAGCCACATACTTAGTACTTGCTGGGTGGAAGCAGTTAATGTTAACATATTTTTTGAGTTAGCTCTTACTATATGTTTACATTGTACCTAGCTGGTACTAATAAGACAAACATAGTTCCTGTCCTTACAGAACTCCCAGTCTGCCAGGAAAAACAGATATTAAGCAAGAATTCACAATCATTGTGTAATATAAAGAGAAATATGGGATGCTATGGGAACAAAGAAACATTTTTGAAGAGCTATCTTTCTATTTGCAAGACTTGTAAAAGCTATTTATATCTTTCTTGTATTCTTATTACTAAGATTGTCCACCTCCTACTTTGCTCAGTGAAAGGGTTAGTTTCTAGTACGAAGGTAGAGGCTCTAGCATCTGAATACAGGACTAAAAGAGTTAGTGGGAGTAGGGGAGCAGCATTGAGAGAAGTAGGACCAGCCAGGCACAGTGTCTCTCACCTGCAATCACAGCTACTCAGGAGGCTGAGGCAGGAGGATTGCTTGAGGCCAGGAGTTCAAGACCAGCCTGAGCAACATAGCAAAACCCCATCTCTAAAAGAAGTAGGAATAGTGGGAAGAAGCTATAAGGAGGCAGATTTCGATTCAATGTAAGGAATTTTGTATTAATAGGTTTCCAGAAATGGACTGCCTGCATTAGAAGATAGCCTTCCATCAGGAGTTTTTAAAACATAGATTGATACCTACTGAGCAGAAGCATTATAGAAAAGATTCTATCAGGACAGCTGGGTGCGGTGGTGCCTGCTGATAGTCCCAGCACTTTGAGAGGCTGAGGCCGGAGGATCACTTGAGGCCAGGAGTTCGAGACCAGCCTGAGAAACATAAACCTCATCTCTACAAAAAACAAAAATTAGCTGGGCATGGTGGCATGTACCTTTAGTACCAGCTACTCAGGAGGCTGAAGCAGGAGGATCACTTGAGCCCAGGAGTTACGGGCTGTGGTGTCCTATGCCCATCAGGTGTCTGCACTAAGTTTGACATCAGTATGGTGACCTCCCAGGAGCAAGGGACCACCAGGTTGCCTAAGGAGGGATGAATTGGCCCAGGTTGGAAATGGAACAGGGCAGTACTCCCTTGCTGATCAGCAGTGGGGTTGCACCTGTGAATAACCACTGCATTGTAGCCTGGGCAATACAGCGAGACCCTGTCTCTAAAAATAAAAAAGATTCTATCAAGACAGATAGGATGATGAACAAAGTGAATTGTACTGTGTCTTCTGACGCGCAGTTTTTATGATTCTAGCATGAAGAAAACTGGTGTAAATATTCCATAGTATACCATTCTTTAATGTTCTACTCCTCTCGCAATTTCCTTTCTTCATTCTAGGGTGAATCGAAACGCATCACCCTGGTCCTCCAGCAGCCACAGTCTGGGGGTCCCCAAGGACATCGGCATGTTGTGCTGGGGAGTCTACCAGGCAAGATAGTGTTACAGGGCAACCAGCTGGCAGCGCTGACTCAAGCCAAGAATGCCCAGGGGCAGCCTGCCAAAGTAGTAACTATCCAGCTGCAGGTGCAGCAGCCACAGCAAAAAATCCAGATTGTACCACAACCACCATCATCGCAGCCCCAGCCTCAGCAGCCACCGTCAACCCAGCCAGTGACTCTATCCTCTGTACAGCAGGCTCAGATAATGGGACCAGGACAAAGCCCAGGTCAAAGACTTTCAGTACCAGTCAAGGTGGTACTGCAGCCACAGGTGAGAGACTTACATAGTAAGGAAAAGAAATAAAACAAAAATACTTAGTCCATTGCTGCTACCCTCAGTAACCACTTATTCTTGAATGTGGGGCCATTCTAGATTTCTGTCTCTAAACTGAGATGTAGACTTAATTCTTTCATCCATGGAAACCTTATTTTAATTATGTTATTAAAAGATTAGAGAATTATTGTTGGGTTTGGGATATGAGATTATTTAGTATTTGAATTGTTTTATTTACAATCCTTTCCTAATATTATTGTGAAATAAAAATGATTGGTGACATCCTTTAAATGATATTTCAGAAATGATATAAAGAAATAGTCAAGTGATCAGTCTTCCTCACACCCCTGCAGACAGATAAAACATAGGCCAAGAGTAGAATTTGAACTTTTTTACTGTTAGGACAGAGACAAATATTGGCTATTGTTAGTTGTAATTTTTCTGAAGTAATGGAGATGTGTATTGATATGAAAGCATAGTAAAAAGATAACTGAAGTTTATTTTGGCAGAATTCTTGCTTTTTCTCACCCCTTTCCCACCAAAAGAATACATTTTAAAAAGTATGTGTAGGTTCAATAAGATTTAGTTTGAGCTTAGTTCTTAAGGGATTAAAGAATTAGTTTCTAGCCCCCTAGTCCCCCTGTTTCAGAGCTGGATTTTATTTAGGCCATTTAACTACAAGCAAGTTGAAATTTTAGTGTCTTTATTTCTGTAGGCTGGCTCTTCCCAAGGGGCCTCTTCTGGGCTCTCTGTAGTTAAAGTTTTAAGTGCCAGTGAAGTGGCAGCTTTGTCATCACCAGCAAGCTCTGCTCCCCATTCTGGGGGAAAGACAGGAATGGAGGAAAACCGCAGATTGGAACACCAGAAGAAGCAAGAGAAAGCAAATCGGATTGTGGCAGAAGCCATTGCAAGGGCCCGTGCCCGGGGTGAGCAGAATATACCTCGAGTCTTGAATGAGGATGAGTTGCCCAGCGTTCGGCCAGAGGAGGAAGGTGAGAAGAAGCGCAGGAAGAAGAGCGCTGGGGAGAGGCTGAAAGAGGAAAAGCCAAAGAAGAACAAAACATCTGGTACCTCCAAAACAAAGGGCAAGAGTAAACTAAAGTGAGTACTCCTTGCTATTTTGATGGGATATTTGAGAGCAGAGCACTCATTTCTAAAAAGTGTTGAGGAACTTATATGTATTTAGCAGCTACATAGTTCAAGGTGATCTATCGTAGAAAATAATAAGGCCTTTCTTTTTTCTGTCCTAATGCTTACAGGATTTGTTAAATGGAAAATTGAAATTAGCATTTTTTTTTTTTTTTTTTT